TTAATTAATTATTATATTTTTTAATTTATTAAGAAATAAAAAAGTAAAATTATGAGAAAAAATTATAATATAAGAATATAATAAGTAATTATATTAAAAGAATATGACATTAATTATTTCAAGTGGGGTGATAATCTTGCCTATGTATTTGTGCATTTTATATGAAAAATAATGTGGATAGAAAAAATGAAAAAAAAAAGTTATTCATATTAAACAGCATAACAAATTAAAAGTAGAGTTCAAACACTAAAATTATTAAAATATTTTTAATAAAATTCCTCTATGTATTTATTTATTATTAATAATTTAATAATTTTAATATATAAATTAACATAACTAAAAACAAAAACTCTAAAATAATTATAAAAAGTAATTTGTTGTATGTGTCTCTGAATCATTATACAAGCGTATGTATACATTCGAGTTACATAGGTGTGCCCTCACTCATGATATTGTCAGAGAAGTTTAGTGAATTCTGATGGATCCTTTGATTAAAAGAAATTAAGGAGGAATTGGTGTGGTGATCCACAATTCACACGGGAAGTTGGTGATTAGTTTTAATAAATTAGCTTAAATGACTGAAGCATTAGCTTTGAAAAGCTGGATGCAATTAGTAAATGGTAAAAGACTGCATAATTATATCCCATCTTTGAAATATAATAATAATTATTTTTTATTTTGAGTTATGAAATGGAAAAGTACACTTTCTGATTCCCTAATTCACTCCAACCTCTGTGAAATTGATTAAACACTAATATCTATCTTGTTTTTCTTGATCTTCATTTCTGAGAAACATCCAAAAGCGTGATGAATGCTTGGGTCGTGTGGCTGCTGTTCCACACAAGCTCCCATTCCTCTAGACTAGGGTCAATAGTGAAGACAACAGCATCACAAATTTATACGCTTTGGAGAGAAAAAAAAATGAAAAAAAAAAAGAAAAAGAAGGAAAAACCCGGAAGAAGAAAGGATTTAATTTCTATTTTATACAATCCCAAGTGAACCTTTTTCCTACATTCATAAAATATACATGCATGTTTACCCCATAAAAGAGAAGAACAAAAATAAAAAATAAAAAAAAATAAAACTGCAGGGAGTATAAGAAGTGTACAGGAATAGCAAATTTACGCACACCGAATGATGTGGTCCGTGCCAAAAACCTGTATGTTCTTTGTTTTCTTTTGCTTCATGCATCCTCTGGTCTTCTCTAAGCCACCTTCGACCCAAACCACTGTTATGATCTCAATTTCTCAGCAACTTAATGGCACACAATTGCCATGGGATGTCACCAAAGAGCCAAACCCATGTTTATGGCAAGGAGTCGCATG